GAACTATGGTATCGCTTTGCGGGAAAAGAGCGCAGATGCCGTACCTTTATTACATATAACAAATTACATTAAACATTTTATATGGAAAGCTGTTGAGTCGTTTCATACAATTCATTTGTTCTTTTGTTATTACAGGTACATGGTAGATGGTATTAATAATTTTATGGAATTTCTGCAATTAGCCAAAATGGCATAGGTACGAAGTCAATTAAATAACAAAAATGTAATGTCTAACAAAAAAAAAGAAAAATTTAGGTATTATTATACCTATTTATTATTATTATATTATTATTAAAAGCCTATACTGTCCGAGTGCTGGGCAAAGGCCTCCCTGCCCTCTCTCCGTATCACACTGTTCTGCGCCACTGAGGTCCAATCTTTTAAGTGCGCGTCTAACTCGTCTTTCCATCGACGCTTTGATCTGCCGCATGGTCGTTTTCTGTCCTTGGGGATCCATTCGGTGGTGGCTTTTACCTACGACTTGCAGCAGACGGGGCCCGCCCAGTGCCATTTCGGTTTACCCGCTTGTTGGCCCACATCTGCGATTTGTGTTTTGGGGCGCATGTCACTGCTTCTAATTCGGTCTGATAATTTGACTCCCAAGATGCTGTGCTCCATAGCTCGTTAGCAGACGCCAAGTTTCGACTTTTGCCGAGCTGTCAGTGACCAGGTTTGTGCGCCGTAGATGGGGATGGTTAGAATGCACACGTCTATGGGTTTTCTTTTGAGCGTGAGTGGTAAGTCGCCTTTCATCAGAAGCTTCATAGAACAATGACCCTTCCGGCATTTTCAGTGCGTCTTGCGATTTTAGCATCTTGTCTGCTCTTGAAGCATACTAATAATAGGTACAATGTCAAAAAAATATCGTTATATTGAATAATCTAACACTACCAACATTATACTATACATTTTAGAAATATGCAAAACTATCAGTTTTTATACATAGAACCCCCGACAAACTACGCACAAACATAAAAATTTACTAGTCCAATAATTAAAGGAAAAACTTTGGCAGAAAGGTGTCTTGTATCGGCGATTGTGCAATTCGTGTAGATTAGTTAGTAATAGTGTTTTATTATATTGTATGTATGTTATTACTTAAGGCATATATTATATGGGTCATGTGGCCTGAACTAAATAAATAAAATAAATGTACAATTTAGGACCTTTTGTAATGACTATTACAATGTAATAGAATTCCCAAAGAGATTTTTTCATTCCACACACAATATAACCAAGCACCTTAAAGCTCACTTGATAAAAAATAGTGCATTGTGAAGGACGGTAAATAAGCAATTACTAACGAGATACTAATTATATTCGAGCTTTTTACTTTTTTACTGTCCGTGACACATACAAAGTTTTTCATAACATTTGCGATGAAATAAATACAATATAAATATGGTTCACAACACAACAATTATTGATTTTGCAAACAGCGGGCATTTTGTTTTTTGTTAAATTCTTCCATAGAACTCGAACTAAAATGTTGTAAAAAGTAAACATGCATACAGCCATGATAGATTGTAAACAAAATTTTTGTACAGATAATAATTGAAGTCAATTATAAGAATAATAAGTATTAAAGTAGTATGTGGCTGAATTGAAATTAAATGTAAGGAAGTATGTCGTGTTACAAATAAAAAATAAGTACTTACCGACCATGGCTGTAATGGAAGGAAAAAAGGCCCGAGGGTTTTATTTGGGGCATTAGAGTCAAGTTAGCCGCCATGCAATCATACTATTTACGAGCAAGTGTGATGAAAATGTAATATGTGTAATGTAATATAATATGTGTAGTATTATAACGGAGAGAGCGAAGAACAGCTAGCTATGCCTACACTCTTTATACATTTTTTGTTAATTTATATTCTGTCTAAGTCCCTTAAGATATAGTTATATTTTTAATAGCAGCCCCCTAAGAGGGTCACGCTGATAATTATATTTACAATCTGGGCCCCAGAGTGTCTTTGAGAGATAAGTTTAATGAAATTAAGATTCTTACAATGGAGCGTCAAAAAGAATAGTATATTTTTTATGAGGAATAAAAACAATAGTACAAGGAATAAACATAAACCGCTTAACAGTCGTCTTTACAAAATCAAAAAATTCATTTATGGAGCAATGTATACGCAGAGCTATTTGTATAGTCCGTCTTTTTTGACGGAGTAAAATGACAGTTCATAACGCAAAACTGTTGCCCATTTGCAATCAGCTAGTGATTGCTGTCGATAAATATTACATAGACTATCGACTGAATGTTAATCACTTACTACTTACTAACTTACTTCATTTGAATCATCTTCGTCCCATTATTATACATCTAATTACTGAGCACCAGTGTATTTGAATTCTCAAATTTTGTAATTTAGAACTATGTTTATGAAAAATACAAATAGGAGACATATTTCAAATGTTTTCATTTTATTATAATTATGGATACAAGGATTGAACACACAGAACAATTTTCGTCGTTTTCGTTCGTTTCGGGCTTGAACTTTGCATTCATAATCATAACAAAAATCTGGAGCTATTGCACAAAAAATGTCAATAAATACATTTTTCATTTTAATTTAATTAAATATACGTAATCAAATCCGCCTGTCATTATTAATTTATGATTATATTTATAATTAAAATGTACATGAATAAAAATTCATTTCGATATTAATAGGCCAACTGCCAAATGAGAATATAAATAATATAAATAAATAATATAAATAACGCACACACTCAACATAGCCCCGCACTAGGGAAACCCTGTGTCGCGGGTGCCATGGACACACACATAGACAACCACAAATTACACCCAAACTCACGAGAGAAATAAATGTAGGCCATACAAATATTTCTCCCGGCCCGGGAATCGAACCCGGGGACCTCTGCGTGGCAGTCCGGTATGGTAACCGTTCGGCCACGGAGGCAGTTTAAGAATAAAGATACAATAATGCAATTAGTAATCATTAAAACGTCGTAACATTCACAATACAGACATTTTTGGAAAAATTTTACCCACTTTCACAATCTATCGACCAAACTGTTGACAACAACTACATGACTATTTAAAATTTTACGAAAAGTGGCAACCCTGCAAATGTTATTTTACTCCGCCTTCAAAAAAGACAGACTTTAAAATACTAACAACCTCTCACGACTGTATTACTTAACATTATAAACAACAAGTTTTGTTCCATGACTTTTTACAAAACATAACACATTTATTTATCCCATTTTTGTCATCTGACACTTTTTAGGTCTGTATTTGGCAGTAAGTTCAAACGTGCAAGCGTCCTTCTCTGTCCTGTCCTGTGGTCCTTAACTGGTACTGTCTTTATTTTGTTACAGCACAGACATGTCACTACTAGAGCGAGATCTATTTAAATAATTTTTATTTTTGTACAAAAGTAAAATCTGATGAATTATTGAAACTCATGGAACACAAGTTGTTGTTTATGATGTTAGGAACATAGTCCTGGGAGGTTTTTAGTACTTTACAAATAACCCTGTATAAATCTTATTTAAAACTATAGTGAAACAAAAACTTAATATCAGTAGAGTGAAAGAGTTCGTCCAGGGAAGTACTGCGACCATCCCTATTTCTTACCGCCAAGCAGTATATTACTGCGTTCCGGTCTGTAAGTGTAAGGGTGCTAGTGAAATTACGGGCACATGGGACTTGTCAACTTATGTCTTATGTGACGGGCGCGGTGGCAGTGCCCCTCAGATCTTTGGGATTTAAAACTCTGAGTGGCACTGCAACTGATATGGACAGGCATGTCGCTTACCACCAGGCGCACGATTTGTTCGTCCCGTCACTTATTCACAAAAAGAATCCACTAAAGACAGCTTATTGCGTACTAGGATAACAGAAATCCATAGTAGATCTATGATATTTGAAATAAATATTGTATGTGATAAGTGTTTCTTAATGCTTTTTACAAAGACGACCACTAGTGCTTTTACTCATTTGTCTCAAGCGAACCTACCTTAAGAATGTAGTAATAGAGTTCAAAGGACTATTTAAAAGAAAGATATATTTCAATTTGAGCGTAATAAAACCTGAGAGCAATACAATACCGAAATTTATCAAAATGAATTTTTTGCGTAACGCATATAATTAATGCACGTGACTCAACACGTACATTTCATGCTATTCTTAGAAAGGGAGCTGCCTCGTAGATTAGCCGTATCCGTGGTAGCGGAAATGACGTCCTTCGCGTCGTGACTGGTAGGGTTGGCTGCCCGATCATGCTTCATTGCATGAGACTGCATTCGCCTTCAATTTGAGGACTTGTCTTTTTTGTTTTTTAAATATTGGTAGTTCCTGATGGGACTACATACATAATTGTGTAGCTATTATAAGAATATGGACTGTATCTGTCTGAAATAAATGAATTTTGAATTTGATTTGATAGTATACAAATTATCTCTTATTTTCATCCGACTTCAAAATAAGGTGAAGGTTCTCAATTCGACTGTCTTTTTTTGTGTATATTACGCAATTACGACATTTGTGAAAATTTTTCGATGATTCTTTTTTTATTAAGGGGGTACATTATTAAAGGTCCCATTCAAATTTCAAGAAAATATACCATTTCTACGGGTGTTCAACTAAGATTTATTGGATTTCACCTATTTTCACACGTTTGTAAATCGACAAACTTTTGAGATGGGTTTTTAAACTATATTTCCGGATTTAAATCGCGATAAATAAACCAACGTTTCGACCCCTTTACAGGTCCCACGGTCACAGTTGACTGGGACCCGTAACGGGCCCGAAACGTTGATTTGTTTGAAAAAACAAAATAAAAAATAGTTCCATTTCCTCTGCGTAGCAATCGCGAAAACCTAAGAACTCGATATAATTATGACAAACTTGTACGCTGACATAGGTTACATTTACAAAAAGGATTTTGACAATCTGTATATCTATATACCTTGTTGTAACCCTTTAAATATAAACAAACCAATCAAATACACTTTGAAAATCATTGTTTCAGAAACTTCTCATTATGAGCCCATCAACGCCATCAAGACTCACGCGAAATTCGAGATCTCGCAACTAGCACTGGCGCGAGTTCGATCGACCAATGGGAGCGCGGCGTGGGAGCATGGATGGACCGTAGAATGCGCGTCACTTGGGCGCTGATATATTTATTCCTGCTGATTTGTACGCATGCCTTTGAGATCATCCCGGGAGTTCACGGTAAAACTTCACATTTAGAAAACCCAGATAGCTTAATGTACTCATTGCATAATATACCATTCCTTGTATTCATTACAGTTTCGAAAAATTCTTGTTAGATTATTATTTAAACGATAAGAAAGATATTATTTATATTTATTATATAGAAAGATATTATAGAACGATATTATATATATATGTATATATATATATATATATATATATGGTGAGTGTGCGAAAAAAAAAAGAAAAAAAATATATATATTTGAAAGATATTATTTAAAAAATTGATTATTATTAATATTTCAACTGCCTCCGTGGCCGAACGGTTACCATGCCGGACTGCCACGCAGAGGTCCCAGGTTCGATTCCCGGGCCGGGAGAAATATTTGTATGGCCTACAATTATTTCTCTCGTGAGTTTGGGTGTAATTTGTGGTTGTCTATATGTGTGCCCATGGCACCCGCGACACAGGGTTTCCCTAGTGCGGGGCTATGTTGAGTGTGTGCGTTAATTATTTATTTATTTATTTATTTATTTATTTTTAAATAGAATTGTTCTGTCATCAATAAAATGTCAAATCAAATGTGTCGATCCTCTTGCCCCATGGGCCAGCTCAGGAGGGTGCAACCACAGAACAATAAATACAATAGAAGTGGTTTGTTAGCGTCAGACGCGTCCCAACTATAGGTCTCGAAAGACCTAACTGACCTCGGTCAGTCATTATCGCTTTGTATGGTATGGTTGTGTCATTCTTTCGTGCTAATTGTATAAAATCCTAGAAAAATGCATCAATGTGCTGTTTTGGAGTGTAAAAATGATAGCCGCACCAAAAAAATTAAGGTGGTATTTCATACTATCGGAGTTTTATTTTAATAAATTTTCAATCAAAATATTTTTTTTTGTTACAAGAAACGAAAGTAAACTTTGCCCCTGCAATATGGTCGCTTCTTTTTTGGAGAACTAAATTAATAACTCCAATTCGTCGTCGTTCAGTAATTAACCGCTAGATGGCAGCACATTGATTGAAATTTCAATATAATATTGAACACTTCCGACTTACGTTTGCCCCGCTTTCTAAGAGTATTCCTCCTGGACACGAATTGCCATGGTCGATCTGGAAGTCTTTAAATAGGCTTCGGTTTCAGGTTGATCGGAGTAAATACAATTTGTTCAATTTGTTCAGGTGGGGATTTTCGGATGGTTCTAACCTGAATTGTTTGTGCGGTGCAATTCAAACAATCGCCCATCTCATATCGTGCCCTGCGTGCTCTGACACCTGCACGCTTGAGAATTTAATAGCGGCTGCTAGTGACACGGTCGACGTAGCTGAGTTTTGGGCCACAATAGTATAAAGTATGCCATCGATACGATAAGAATTTACAATTTAATTGTACACTGTCACAAAATCCAATATATAATAAAAGTGTAATCAAAACCTTTTGGTCCACGTTATCTAGTACGAGCAGATACACATTACATTTGATAATAAAGTAATCTAAAATATCAGCCAACCCTACAATTTAGTTGTATTTATGTAAAGTATTAGACTCTTAAATTTTAACAAATAAGCACAAGAGCAGAGATGGACAAGCGCCCGGGCGCTTTCTTAACTCCGGGTTTAAATCGGGTTAAAACTCATTAACGCCCGAAATCGAGGGCAACATCAATTCACAACTAAATATTTGAATCAAGTTTTGTTTAAATTTAATTATATTATTATATAATGCTTCTTGCTTTCTGATCTAGACGATCCGATTTGCCTTTCTATTAAATCGATTCGCTTGAAAATTGCATTGAAATAAACTGATATAAAAAAACGTTAAATTGAATCGATATTCATAAACTACGAATCGTGATGTGAATTTCTCAATGCAATTCAGTGAGAATCCACAGGATTACAAGGTTAGTACTGTGTGGAGTTGCCTCTTTTTCGTTTAAAAAAGATTTTTTACATCGAAATTTTTAATAAGTATGGAATTATATTAAATTCAATACTCGCCGTTTCCGCCCACGATTTCGGGCCAAAATGGATTAAAACCTTTTTGGGTAAGAACCCGGTTAACACCCGGGCGGTTTGATTGAGTTTTAACTCACTGCCCATTTCTACTCAAGTGTACTCACGCATTCACCTCTCCGCCTCCTGAAACACTTTCACAGAACATGAAAATAATATAACCAAACACATTCCAGGCCCAGTGTCGAATCAGGAAGCACTAGAAGGAGGCAACACTACGCTATTCTGCGACACTACTCCGGATACAGCCTCCGATGAGTTCATGCTCTTGGTTTGGTACAAAAATGGCGTGGATTCACCTATTTACAGGTACCGTATCCCACATATTATGCTGGGGAACACTGAACTTACTTAGTGTCACGTCTATACTTGACATGTAGACGAGACACTAGAACTTCAAGATACCCTTTTCTTTTACAATCACAAACATATACAAACACCTATAGTATTGATACATACTTTACAACTCAATAGTTATAAAAATAGGCATGCAATTTCAAATGAAGCTAAGTATTTGTAGTTTATATTTGAAGGTAAGAAAAATTAATTTTATAAATGTACTTTTCATTAACAAGACATCTCAAGATTGTTTACATTTAGCTAAACAAATAGATTATACGTGACTTGCCCATATTTACTGGCGGTGCTCAATGGTGTTGTCGAAATAAGAAAGAATGGTAGACCCAGTTTATTTAGTAATTATTAAGCAATCTGCTACAAATAGATATTTCTTACAGCAATAAAATTTACAAAATTTATCTTATTTATAAAATATGTCAATTCAGGCAACTTTATAATGCAGATATATGTATGTATACTTTAACGGCAATGTGTCTAATTCACTGACTGTATAGAATACCTCGTAATTCCATACAATATCAGGCTTCTTTAAACAATGTATAAAATAGTTTAAAAAATTTAACGGTTATACACATTGCATATACATTGTATACAAAGTCTAGGTATTGTATAGAATGCCAGCCGTAGAT